TCCGCCAGCACTTTCTGATCACATCAAACGGAATAACCAAAAAGCGCTGGCGATTGATACATAAGTTAATTAATTACAAGATTATTTGTTCGACACTGAAATACGAGGAATCAACCATTTTATTATAAACAATTTATAAATGCTTACCTCGAATCCACCCACGAGTAATAATCCATGAAAATTGTATTTTTCAAACGCGTCAGCAACTTTATCCATAATTTTTCCGGGCAATTGTTTTTGTGTTCCAAGAAATGAACCACCGTACATCACCCAGTTACACACATCACCCCAAGCCATATCCTTAAGCAATTCTTTTATAAAGAACAACGAACAAAGTAGCAAATAAATCAACCAAAAATACCTATCTTCTTTACCTTCTTTCTCCTCAATCTACAAACTTCTACAATTGAAATGAAATTAACTACTCGCTTACCTGTACTTCTCCTCGGCAGAGTCCTTCGAACGAATTCTTTATACCATAAACCTTACATCCATGATAAAGTGCCATACGAACATACGAACGCACCACTGCATTCATTCCTGCAAAAACAAGGGACACTATTTTTAAGGAAATTATTTACGACTAATTATTAAAAAAAAAAAAAAAAAAGAAAAATTTCTAAGATAGTAAGAGGAATCATTTTAAATTCATTTTTCGTTTCTCAATTACGCTAAAAATAACTATGGAACACTAACCACCAGCAGGTGCACCAACATTAACTATAGCCACATTGTAAACTGGTACATTTGGATCGACTTTTTTCGGTTCTACTTTTGTAAGTAAACGATAAGTTTCAAGATTCCGTTGGAAACTTCTACCTCTTAACTTTACAGCTGTTTCCCAGTCACGTTCGTCCATGGCTTTTTTTACCTAAAAATTTTTCGACTGTCCAACATACATTTTAATTTGAAATAAAAAGACTAATGTAGGAATATTTAAAAACTCACTGAATTATTTTTGTGCAAATAATGCAAAATAACAAATCAGTTACTACATTTGCATTTCTGATAAAAAACAAAAATAAAAAAATGGAAAAATTACTGCTTGAGTACGTTGAACACATTGCATGAGTGGGACACGTACAATCACATTACCGTCAATTGAAACAACGCAAGGTTCTGACTGCGGTGTCATTTCCATCAAAGCAAGTACTGCTTCTGCACCCATACGACATCCAAGCAATCGATCAAATGCTGATGGACTACCACCACGTTGAACGTGTCCCAATACGGTCACACGAGTATCATAATGCAAAGTTTCCTTCACAACTGCACGAACCTAAATTTGACAGCTATTTTAACTTCAGTTACTCTAAAAAGCAATAATTTTTTTAAAAAAAAGGAAAAAATTATGGTGAAATACATACTGACTCAGCTGTAATACATTTTCCTTCTCTATCCAATGCGCCTTCTGCAACAATTACAATATTTAAACGTGAACCAGCTTCACGCATCATTCGTAGTTTTTGACATAATACTGTCGGCCAATCAGTTGGTACTGGCCATTCAGGTATGAAACAGAAATCTGCTTCAGAAGCTAATGCAGCAACCAGTGCCAAGTAACCACAATGACGACCCATCACCTAAAATTACTAAAATAAAACATTTGTAGTACCATTATTTGTTCGCCTGATCAAATTCTATGAAAGGAAATTATGAATTAACAGAACTTTAACTATTAATCGTAAACAACATATTTATTCAACTCTACCTTGCGCGTTGACTTCAGGTATTTTGAAAAATGAACAACATAAGGCAATTGTATTCAAGTGTTTTATTATTTCCATCTTAATAAGAAAAATGAGCACCTCAATAACGAATGTACGTTGGTGACTTTGAGCTGTTGACATTACGCAATCAATTGCTTCGCAGATTCGTTGCAACGCTGTATCAGTACCAATGGTCATATCTGTACCGCAGAAATCATTGTCGATGGAACCAACAAGTCCAACGATCTGTAACACCCCAGCTAATCTGTTATGGTGATCAAAGATAATTCTAAATATATTTCAAGTATACAAGATGATAAATCATATTTAAATACTTTATAAGATGAAATGGAATTTAAGAAACTGCGAATTTAATTCTCAAATCTCAAAATCCTAAAGCTATCGCAGTGCAGAGAAAAAGACGATTGTATGACATGTTCATAAAATTATAAGAAGAAAACAATCTTTAATATTAATATCTTGAAATTTACCTGGATGTTACCACACTCTACCGCCTCTTCTCTCGTTATTTTTCCACTTAACAAGAGCTCTTTTACCAGACCTTGCCATTCTTGCCGGAAAAGATTAGCGCCCGTTAATGAGCCATCACCTGTAAAGAAACCAAACTGCTAGTGCCTAAACAATTGCAGAATTACTTTTGAACGTATATCTAAAAGTTTGGAAGACTAAAACTATAAAATCAAAAAATCTGACTTCGGTATTTCAATATGTATCAAAGGCGTCAAGGAGGCTTTTTATAATTGAAAGATTAAGACCACCACAGATTAGTTCTTTTTAATTAAGAAAGGAAAGTCATACCATAAATCCAAATGAAAAAGAACAAGAAAGACAACAGGGTTAAATTAGATAATTATATAACACACTATATATAACAGATTCTTTATAACATACACTCTAATTAACTAAAAGTAAATTCGTTCTAGTAACTTCTAACCACTGTACGATTTTCATTCAGATGAAAGCGATCATTTACAAGAATAAGGTAGGATATGCTGATGAAAATTCAAAAAAACACAAAAAATCACCTCCAATACATACAAGATTGGTAATACGATGTTTGATAAGATTCTCAGCAGCTTGCAAGCGTCCCCATCGTTCTTGGAAAACTTTGCAACGCGCTGATCCAATAACAGTACCTAAATCTCAATAACAACGCCATTTCTAAAAAAAAAAAAAAAAAAAAAAAAAAACAGAATAAAAGAGATTTATATAGTCACTACAAATCATTAAAAAGGAATATTTCAATAGTCCAATATATAATATCTTTTGTAATGAGCAACTTGCCTCCACGTTGTATGATATCCGACACTGATTGCCAATCTGCTTCCTTGATATTATCACCACCATCCACCATTCCTTGATATCCTTCATAAATGAGAAAAACTCGACACCCAAGATAAACACCCATCCGAACTACTGAGCGTACAGCGCTATTCATTCCTTAAAAATATTGAAATATCATTTTGTTTACAGTGAAACTCATCATAAAAAGACTCAGTCTTTTACTAAGATCTTTAAACTTTGAAACAAAGTGCTTTTAATACAACTGAAATTAATATAACATATAATTTATTACTGCTAAATCATGACTAAATCAAATGCTACTTTACTGCTATCATTTCTACATAATATTCAAAAGAAACAAAAGAAAAGAAAAATACCAGAAGCATCACCACCACTGGTGAAAACAGCCATAGTACGGCCTTTATAAATCTGCGGTGCAATCGAAGTACCTTCTCGACCAGCCGATGGTACAATAGAATCTGATCGTATCGAAAATTTCATTCGATGCATATCAGTAGTTGGTGGACCGAAATCATCGTCCAGTGAAGTTATCGGCAATCCCGAATTTTTCATTTTCTAAAATAAAAGCGGATAAAAACAAAAAAAGGAAAAAAAGCGTTACACTAATTTTGCCTTACGTTTAGATATAAAAACTAACATCATTATCATTAAAGAAACGACTTAACAGTAGAAAAGCCATGATATCATTCTCGGAAGTACAACAAAAAGTGTTCAACATTATAATAAATAGTTCAACTCAGCTGCTTATATGCCTCCTAGAAGACACAACTACCTGGTCTTTGAACGCTGGGTTATTAAAACGTGGAAGAATTTTGAGTGTCGCGTCTTCGTTAGAAGTATCCCATAAAGAAACAATCATTAAATAAGAGATAGCATTATGATGGAAAACAAGTACTCCTCCAGTAAATTCACGTAAATCAAGAACAAAACTTGATCAAAACATTGGAAAAATATTAAAGAATTATGAATGTGAACTGGAAAATATTTATGCATTACTTCAAATAAAATATTTATTCAGTATAGAGAACTTCGCATTATAAAGAAATATCAAATAATCAAATGACAGAATACGAACTAGGCAAATGATATTAAAACTCGTTAAATGTTTTGGCGGATTTCTCATAAAATATAAAAATGATATCGAAAGAATTGAGGAATTACATCAATTAAGTTAACCATATTTTCACCACCTAAATCATCTTTCTTTATTTTAAATAATTACTGTAAGATGGTTTGTCCAACTATTATCGCGAAAAACTACTTCCAACAGTTTTACATTAACTAGATCACCTGCTTACAAGAGCCTAACAGCTGCACTTACTCTAATTTCTCTTTTAATATGAATAAAAATATGACATGTAAGAAGGAGAAATTCCAAGTCCAAGTCAAGTAAAAAATAACAGTTCTAAACTTTGACAAACAACGGAAAATTTTTCACAATACAATACAACAAACTAAATATTTAATGAAAATTAACTTGATCCATTAAGGCTTTCATTTTTGCTGTGTTTGAGATCTGATTTAGAAATAGCTAAGGTAGCATGGCTAATGACCATATAATATAAAATTGCTAATTAATCAAACTGATGGGGAAACAACAATCGGATGTTGCATGAATATAAAATTTAATGCCCAGCAAAGTAAACACAAAATGATTACGCATACACATGCATAATGGGATTTCGAAACCACAAAGAAAGATGGAAGCAAATTTATACCATATAAAAAAGCGTAACTGTTTAACATCAAACACAAGAGTTCTTGAAAAAATAATAAAACTAAAATAGTGGGTATTGCAAATATCCTTTAACTGACTTAATCTGATCGTATTACATGCAAAACCAAGAACAGCTTTTTTTCCAACTCAAGAATTTCAGCCCCATGAACATGCCTACCCTCTTCAAATTTCATTTCCTAACAATAGTCAATTCACATCTTGTTAGCATTTTCAACAAATTCTTTTAATTACGATTCACCAGTATTAGCTTTCGACGCCGAAGTCCCAATTTTCGTCACTAAAATTAATTGCTGTGAGTTGTAGAGCTTCTTTTTCAAGATATATAACTATTTTTAGCTGAACTAAGTTTTGTCAAAATTTATTGCTTAGATGTTTAAAATAAAATTCTAAATATTATCAATGGGAAAAAATCTCCCAATAACCTGAGGGACATTGACCTGTTATAAGAAACATTCCAACTGTATTACGAGTCTGAAGATATTGAGCAAAAGCAAAACATATTTTGTAGCAACAGACAGTAATTCGAATTAAAAAAAAAAATGCAAATAACGATACCTTCTTTTTCCATGGTTTCAAGGAAAGAAGTTTTTATCGATTCATCCGAACGTGGGCGATACAGACCCAGAAGAGTTGCATCTGCTTCTAATAGCGTTAACTCTTTTGTAGAACCCAAAAATAACTCAGAAAGTTCGGGATCATGCAAGCGAAGAAGAACTTTTGCTCCTATTTTGTAACTTCTGAAACACATAATTTAAATTGCTATTTAATTAAATACATGTTTTGCTACATAAGAAAACAAAATAGAGAATGGCTAAAATTTTGCAGTGTCATCGCATAAAATAGTAGTATTGAAACTGATCCTCTCAAACATCGTCCCAAACTAATTAATTCCATTATCTTACTAAAATTCCAAACTACTGCAATCTTGAAAGAAAATTTCTGGTTGGATAGAAGTCTGCTTGGAATTTCATGATTATGAGTTAATGTGCCTCGCACTTGTTTTTAATCGTTATTCATAAAAGATTGGGAGGAAATAGATCAGATCTAAAATTTTTAGATTTCGTGGAGAGAAATAAAATATTGCAACGGAAGAAAAATATTGACAATAATGAGATATTTTTTCATTTCATCAAGAATATTGACATGAATCTGAAGATAATCAGGAATTAAAGCATTAAACAAGTAACTAACTCATTTTTCATCACCGGTGCTTTACATACGGTGTTGAATTTTAGTCCTATATCGATGTATAAATCATCAGCGATTCGGCGCACAATTTCACCTATAACTATTCGTCCTTCAAAATCACCAAGCTGTACAAATTTGGAACATCGAAATAATTCTGCGAAACGTTTGCGATCCTGAAATAAAGAGTTATAGAAAGAGAAGTTTAAAATATATTCTCGAATGATTAGAAATTGCACTAAAGCTAAGAAAAAAATTCTTAAGATTGTAAAAAATCAATCTGGAAACATTATATATAAACCAATATATATTAAAGGGCATGAAAGCCCTTTTAAAGAAGGAGACGGTTTGTAAGGTGAATGCTCATATACGCAAAGTATATCGCTCTTTATAGTGTCGTAAAAAGAAGTATTAAAATTACGACCAAACAATGAAAATAACAAAGATCCAACCAAAACAGTACAGATAATATATATGTCAGTAATTAGGTTATTTTTACAAAAACGGTAAGAAAATATTTATCAGAAAAAATATTTCTGACGTATAATCAACTACGTAGAAACTATTAAAAATTCCGAGATAGCAAATAAATGAACCTCTTTGATTTCATTTTCATTCATTATCTTTCCCTTGTATTGTTGTTGTTCGTCGGAGAGAATTGATGATGTGGAAGGTATCGCTTGACTACTTGAGGTACCACTACTGTCCCTCCAACACCCAATCCTTTTCAAAGAATTAAATGATTGCAAGAAACGAATTTGCATCGAAAACATCTATTTCCACTTCAAGACTAAATATACAAAAATGATCAAATACCAATAATACCTATCCAACAACAAAAAAAAAGAATCAGATACGATCTCCATTAAAAAATATTATCTATTCAACAGCAAAAACAACTCAATTTCTGATAATGATCAAAAGTCATCAACATTTCTTTACCAACATAATTCCAACCTCGTACAGCGGCTAAAGTTTACCGAAACCCCCTACTAGTAGGAAACCCAACTTTTAGCTCAATTTCGCACCTATAATCACTCAAAACAAATAATCAACGATTCAAATTTTAACACATGCTATTCCGGGCTTACTATGACGAAACGTTAAGTTTCAGTTCTCTAAATTTCTTATTATATTTATTGTTTTTATTTATTTATTTTTTCATGGAAGATACGATATAATGGAGAAATATCCTAAAGTGTATGTATTGCTGGATGGTTACTGTAAACAGGTAAAAAGGAACGATTGTTCAGAAGCGTCTGGTACTGTAGCACTAATTTTAACCGAAAAAAGGAAAATTTTGGTAGATTGTGGTGATCCATGGAATGGTACACAAATTATCCAAGGTTTATTGACACTTATCATTCTTTCTTTTCTCTTTTCTTGAAAATTATATTTGAATTATATGTTTTTGAAATTTTTTGCCGATACTGAAAAACTTCAAATTAGAAATGGAAGAGTTTCATATATATTAATAATTATGAGAAATATCCTACAGCAAAAAAATACGTCATCATTTTCCACTTAGCATCTCATATATTTACCATTTGAAGCAATACCGAATAACCAGTGTCAAATGGCCATTGACCATTTTGACCATTAATTATAGGCAATTTTGAAAATCTTGCATTTTTGAAATCATTTACGAACATACAAATAAATTATTATATAATTGGAATGAATTTTTGCAGCACTTTCAAAATATTCTTTAAATTGTGATGATATTACCGATCTGATAATAACTCATGGACACAGTGATCACTGCGGTAATTTATCACTCTTCCAGCAAGCTAAAATTTATATGGGTGATGATATGGCCAAAGATGGTATTTACGAAGTTTGTACGGTGCAGTTGATTATTCTGTTTTGTTATTTTTCAAATATATTATGTATTTTCATTTGATATCACATACTCTCGCATCAGTGATGATATACTGCTCCACGATGAGATGACAACAAATAATGTCTCCTTGTGATATCGCTTTTTTTTGCGAAAAATTTCTTCCTTATATTAGCATCCCATTACTATATAAATCATTTCGTTCAAAAAATTTACGTAAAAAAATGGTTGATAGAATGGAGGGCATTTATTAATCTAATTTCATATTTCTCTATTGTGTGCAAAATATGATTTATTATTTTGCAGGGTATTTGGACATTAGATGATTTTGTGAAGATAAGACCAACTCCTGGGCATACTGATCATGATCGTAGTATTATAGTGTTAGATACCGAATATGGAACAGTTGCTATTGTAGGTTTGTAATCCATTTTCATTCTTACTATGATGAGAAATTATTAAAGAAACATGGTTTGTTAGGGGAAGAAAAAAAAATTACTTTTCAAAAAATTGACATTTCTAGGTGATATTTTTGAAGAAGAAAATGATGATGATAGCTGGAAAGCAAACAGTAAATATCCGGAAGAGCAGCAGAAAAGCCGTAAAATAATATTAAAAGAAGCAGATTGGATTATTCCTGGACATGGTAAAATGTTCAAAAATAAACTGAAGAACATATAATAATCGCATTTTTCTAATATCACACTAACTTCAATATTTAACTGAAAATTGATTGATTACTTGAGGTAATTGACAAGTTGATCGGATAGTCGTTTTTGGTTTCCTTATCTATACCCATTTGTCTATCTATTTCAGTCAAACTCTCTGTTTATGTACATATGAAGTAAAAAATATTTGAACAAATTAGAGTGATGACATTTCATTTGCAAAGTTGTTGGGTTAGAAGAGAAATTTGGTACTTTCCAAAATTTTAATCTTTCTGCACTGTGATACTGTTTTGGCTTTTATTAGTTTACTTTTATTACTTACTAACACTTTATTTGTTGTTTATTAACATCCAGCTAAATCAGTACTTCTTTCATGATTACTATTACTAGTACCATATCGTCCAGCAAGCGTAGTGCTTAACTCTCATATTATCATTGTATATTGGTTCATACACTGATTATATTTATGTTACTTTACATTAACCTATAAAGCATATTTTAGTTCATTTATGGCGATAAATTGAAAAAGTGAAAACATTGATGAAATACATTTTAAAAAAAAATATAAATTTGGTTGCACTCAGATATGGTTTCTACTGCCTTCTTTTTTATGCAAACTGATCAGTTTCGCATTGGATTGATTGTATTATTTAGCATTTTGTCAATCCAGTCTTTTTTTCTTCAGTTAGCAATTTTATTTTATTAACTTTTTTTTTTCTTTTGAATTAAACAATTTTATATGACTAATTACATCTGTGCTGGTATTTGCTTACTAATTCTAGTTTGATGCCTTCTAATCAATTTCTTTCATTGTTGACGTGCATGAAATGAATTGCTTTCATTTTTATATATAGTGCATAAAAAAAAAAAAAAAAACATTTCGATTTTGCTTGCTCAATTATATTTTCTATTATTAATTCTATTGTTTTAAACTACAAAACTTTATTTTTATGATGTAAAATTTCAGTATTATTTACGTTTGCTCTCATTCATTTAATAAATTAAAACTAAAAAGATGAATGATTAGAACACAAATGTACAATAAGTTCATTTCATTAACAACAACATATTTCAATTGAATGGAATAATTTCCTATTTTGTTTATATTCGCAAGGAATATTCATTCCATGCTATTAGTAATGTTTTTATTTAAATTATTCAATTCAAACATTCCCATTCGATTTTGTTTCATTCATTTCAATTTTTTTCCTTGCTAGTTTAATGGTGCATTTTTGCTATTCATATTCCTAACCATTTCTCACATAAAATCTCTAGACTTCCTCCATTAATAGCATAAAGAATTATTTGTATTGCATACGAATTAAATTAAAATTCGGAAATGTGAATGATTAGAAATGAAATTTACTAAAGCAATTCGTTCAAGGAAACTACATTTCAAATTTATACTAATAAGTGTAATAGATTTATCATTTCAAAATTAATCTGATAAATAAATAAGGGATCTTGATATGACTACAAGTATATAATATTTGCTGTATTTTAAGAGTGTTATGATAATAAACTACTAATTTATCAATGAATTTTGAAATGAGACTGAAATTTTGTTGCGTTAATTGATAGATATTTGAGTGAAATTGTGCTACTAAACTTTTACTTTGTTTATTAATTGATTATGAGTTTTTCTTATATTACTTTCAAGTCTTCATGGAATTTTCACACTCTGAGATTTTAGAAGTTGCATTATGCTGTCCACTACTCTTTTTATTTTGATAAGAGAATTAAGGATTAAATGATAGCAATATTATTCATTCTTGCACTCAGTGAAGAGTTAACTTCGGAATTATTACTTGTGGTCGAGTTGATTAATTGATAACTGGTGAAATATCTGGTATACAGATAATATTTAGGCAGATTTATCATTTATATGAAAAAATCCAACAAATCAATTGGACGATAGACCAGATGATAGGTTCGGCTGGAATAACTGGTCAGTCTGGTAATAGTAAGTGGTAATCAGCCTGGATGGTCGTAAATAATCTTATATGATTTAGTAATATTAATCCAAATAAGTGATATTTTTCGATAAACTTGAAATATTTGTAGTGGAAGAATTAATTAACCAATTAATTGATAATCATATCGACTAATATCATTGTTGACAAATTGCTTCCTGTATTTTTCATCGCTACTGAATTTATCAAATATTGATAAAATGATTTTACAAAAATTTTCAATTTTGTATAGATTTAGATGTGCCGTTTCAAGCAGTTGTCTGTTTTTCGTTTTTATTTTTCAAATAATTAACTTGAATTATCATCCAAAAAAAAATTGCCGTTGACTCGATTTCAGATTTTAAATACTTATTTTTCTTGCTAATTTGTTATAAGTGATTGTAGGGATTTAAGTGTGTGTTTTTCTGGTTTTATATTTCATTTATTCATGTCATATACGTTTATAGCAAATTTTTCTAATTTATGCTTATATTTCCAAGTTACAGTAGTGATATCTTAGTTGACACAAATTTTTATTCGTCAAGTTCTAGCTTCTCTTTCAGCGATAACGAATGAGAAAGAAAAAATGGAAAAGAGCATATATATATATATATATATGATCTTATAACGTGAGCAGGAATGTCATCATTTTGTGCATAATTAAATTTCTTCATTTGCAGTACTTGTAGGCAATATATACGTGTAATCGCGCGCGTACGTCTTATGCATATCAGTATTTGTAAAAGCGGACATATATATATATATATGCTAGACGCTATTATGTAAAAATTTGTGTGTTAAATCATTAATAGAAAAGAGTATTAAATTTTCTATTGTTGCAGATGGGAGAAGGTGTGTATATAGAGGAAGCTCTTCAGGATGTGTTAAAAGAAACGGATTTGGTAAATTTTGAACGAAAACTTTGTGTGGAATTACAGTTATCACGCTTGGACCATTTTGATCATGTTACTGATGATGAATTAAAAGTATGATGCTTTCTATATTAGATAAAAGAAAATGAGATATTAATTTTTTCCCCAAAATACATTTCAGGTTCGAACTTTGATCTGCCACTAAAAGCCTTTTTTTTGGCGTTGAATTGGGAAGGTCTTGATATTTCCAAGGAATTTTCCTGTTTATCATTGGCGCCAATTAAATTTTCCCATCTGTTATTTAAAATGAAATTTTAAAATGCATGTTTTAGTCATATACGGGCCTTTCGCAACCTGCTATTCGTCGACTACGAGTTGCGATTGCAGAAAAGAAAAAGAAAAGTAAGAAATCGAAAGGAATTTTCTCGTCCA